CAATTGTATACAGGGTGTCTCGTAAGATGGGTCGGGGCCACATTGGGGAAGAGTGTGGGCCGTTCCTACGAATTCGCGCGACGCGGCTTAATCGTATATTGGCTTAGACGGTTTCTTTTCTAATTCGAAAACTATAGCAAGTATCTCAAAATGGTATAAAAATTTTTCCCTAAAAATGTTCCCTTTGATCCTCCGCTCCCAATTTTTGATTTATCTGTCTTTGTTATCGTATAATGTTGATATTTAAAAAAAATAAACGAATGGGGCTAGTAGACTAATCACAACACGGAACTATATGACAATGAATTTTTTTCTCTCTCTCTCTATCCAGGAAAATATCAATCTTTCAGCTACCAAAAAAAATATCGATCTTTCAGCTGCCCAGGAAAATGTCAATCTTCCATATGTTAAAGAAAATGTCGATCTTTCGTCTGTCAAGAAAAATGTCAATCCATCTTCGATGTCTAACTTAATAGTCACACTTCAGGATATAAGACCTCTGCCAAAAGCGAGACCGTGTCAAAAAAAAAAAGAAATACTCGTAAACATACTAATGCAATATACACGGACTCGCCAGAAAAAGATGCCCTCATGAAACAGAAGCTCGATAATCTAAGAAAAAAAGTAAAATCAACAAGAAAGGAAAGGAAATCGAACGAAAAAGCAAGATAATAAAAAAAGAAAAAAGTAAGGAAAATTCAAGTAAAGAAAAATATCCTTTGATCGAAAAAGTTACAAGGAAGGTTCTGAATAAATTAAATTCTTTATCCTCGAATGGGACAAATGATGAAACGTGTCTCGTTTGAACAACGTATCGTATATTTGTTATAACTGCAATTCGAATAACGATTCGGATTAGATAAATTGTTATTTATCTAATAACAAAGTAAAAAGTTATACATTTTTTATTTTATAAGTATGTTTATGTTTAAAATGCATTTTATAAAAGTTTTATAAACATGTTTACGTTTAAAATATATTTTTACGAAAGCTTTGTTGATATGTAAAGATTAAATATACATTAACATTTATTTTAATAATATTAGTCAAATTACCTCATACCATTATTAATACCTTATTCCGATCCCAAGGCTAGTTGAATCAGACGGAATGCATTAGAAAAATGCATTTTTTTCATATTAGTTATCAGTTTTCTCTTATTATTAAAATATTATTAGATAGTCAAATGTTTGTAGTAACTGGTGTAGAATTCATTTTTTCGATAAGTCTCTTAATTTTGTCTGTAAAAATTCGAAACTAAAAAATGTGTCTACTAGCGCCGGTCTCCCTACATAAAATAAAAGGGATTATTAATTTGTTATTGAAAGATTTTAAAATTCGGTAATGAAATTTATTTATCTTTATTTAGTACTTTTTAAGTTCATTATTTCTTTGCAGACATCGTAGGTAGACATAATATGTATATGTATAAAATAAAATAGAGCGTATTAATTTGCATTTGATGATATGTGTTTAGGTACAAGCTTTTCTCTAAAATTATTTACATTGCATGATGTGTGTGATAACAAGGCGTCGGAATGCGCAAATTGTCGATTACATATACTGACATTCGCTATTTGATAAAAAAAAAATTAATACTTCTACCTAATAAAGATAAAACACATGTTCTTTATATGTTTGTAAGCTTCACTTATAAAATGCATAATTTTCAGAAATTGTTAAACTAGTTCAAAATTACGCATGTAAGGCTTGAAATTGTCTATGCGTTCATCAGGAAAGAAGTAATATAAAGTAATGTCTATTTATGACCCGTGTTTTTATAATTAGTTATTAATTTTAGACTTAAAAGCAGTAAATTTATAATTATAAGCGCAATACTATAAACTTTAACCTTACTATTAAAATTAATTCTTGATGCATCAAAACTGTTGATTATATTTTGTAATAATACAAAATAGTAAAAAAAGATCTTTCGCGCAAAATTTGATAGAAGAGTTATACTAGTTATACTTAACGAAACCTTATTTATGTAAAATTTTGTTTAAAAATAAATTTTGATGTATTAAAAATTATTTGTGTAAGTACATATCGAATTATGTGCTTTCTATCATTAATAATATTTCTTCTTTTCATTTCTCTTCAATATAATAAATTACACTCAACAAATGACACTTCAATTGAACTGTCAATAATGCAATTCCATTTTCAAATACAGTTCCTTATTGTCACTTCTATTCTTAACTTTATCATTGCTATATAAATATTAATAATTTGTTAAAAAATTTCAATATTTGAAATTCCAATTTCCAAATTTTAATTTTCCTTAATCTCTGTTAGCGTTATAGGATTAATTCCTCAATCCTCGTTTCAGCGATTTTGGAAAAATCTTTCGTAATCTTTTCATAGTTTTCAGAAACGTAAGATTCAATATACTTTTCACAATTAAGGCGCGAATCTGTGCAGTGTTTGCATCTTAGGAATTGACGTGTCCAGCGTCGAATACCGCGAAAGATTCAACAAATGTCGACTTAACATCAACGTTATTTACAAGATTGTTTTCATAATTGACTTCATCGCTTTCTCGGCGTTTGAAGACAATTCGATTTCGTCGGAAATATTTCCAAGAAGAAACATTGCAAAATGTTTCTTTAAAACAATTTTCAAAATCAATCTTATCTGTTTATTCAAACTAAACTACCGCCAAGGCTCGGTCTCATCGAACATTCGATCTATGTTATCTCGTAACATTTTCTCTTGTTCTGAAAAAAAAATGAGATAAATTCTCTATTAAAAATCTCGGCCCTTATTTTAAATTTTAAATCTTTCTAGTCAGAAAAATTCAAATATATAAAATAAATATGAATAATCACCTTTAGTTAAATTCGCTATAATACATTGTTTCCGAAGGAACTCTGTGCATAAAGCTCGTGACAGGCCGAAAGCATGCATGTTGCAAGTAAAAGTCCTGAAAATATCGTTAAAATGAAAATATATCTAAAATATTTAAATATAGATTAAATATTAATATTTACCCTAATTGTCCAAAGACAATGTTTGCTTGAAACTTTCTATCTTCAGCAGCGATACTTTCCTGATCTAAGGATTTCGGTCGAGGTGGTACCGGTCTTGACGCTCGCTCACATTGTACTGCGTCAAAGAAAGCAGCTGTCCAAAATCTCATAGATGTCCATATTGGTTGAACGCGTAAATGTGTGTATAAATATTCACGGTAAGGCTCTAATCCAGGAACTTCCACTAAAATCACATGATAGAATAAATATACAATCTCACAGACGCAGTGCATTAATAAATAATAGAGACGATAAGAGATGATTCACAAATTAATAAAAAATACATAGTAATTATCTAATAGTATAGAATCATGTATATATATGTATATATTCTAGAAATATATTATAATTCAGTTTAAAAATTACATATCTTAAATATTTATTTAATATAACATAACAGTGTTATAATACCATATTAGTTTTTACTGTTTGATATTATAATTCTTCCTTTTAAAATATTTCTATAATATTCTAAAATTATCGCAGGATTTAAAAATTAGCAATTTTTACAAAATCTTAGTCTTAGTTTCTCATTACCTTCATGATAGAAAGTGAAGCACATGTTCATAAGACTTTTAGCGGGAGCAAAATCATCCGCTTCATGGCATTCAAACAGCGCGACTGCGAAATGCTGCGCCAAAGAATAAAATGAAGCTTCTGTGACACACGCACGTGCCCTTCTCGCGTTTACTACCCTGGAAAACCATACTCTTCCCGATTCTGTCTGTAAATTTATCATTACATTAATTTATAAGTGTCAAAACAAACGCATGTATCTTTCTATTAATTTTAGTACTTTTCATATTATATTTACATATTATTGATTAATATCATTAATATATCATTAATATTATTATAATATTTTACATATTATTAATTAAAGAATTATAAATGATACTATTAAAATGTTAATATTTGATAAATACCAAAACCATCTGCCCAAAATTAGCCTTTTGTTCTTGATCGATAGTATTAGGCGCGTCGAATAGTAAAGGTACAAAAGCTTTCATGAAGTCTGCAGCAGCTTCCTCCGACTGACTGTCAGCTGATAAGCTCGAAGCCCAGGATTGAACAGATCCCGATGAACCTAAACAATAATAAGTTTATATTGCAGTAGTTGTTACAAACGTAATTTATGTTTGTTTATGGCATTATTATAAACATTCTCGATTTATAAATAGTTAAAATAATTTCTTAAATAAATATGAAATAAATAGAAATAAATAAGAATTATGATCGGTACCTGATCTTTGCCATATTCTGCGACCATCCATGTTAGAATCTAAGCTAGTGCTGGGTCCGTATCCATCTTGATCACTCGTAGAATCACTGCTGCAAGGCATGTCTAAAATAAAAAATTACCTTGTAACAAATATATGTTTAAGTGTAATCTTTTTAACACGATTATAATTAATGTGTCAAGCAATGGTGCGTCACGGGCGACACCTAAACTTGCAATAAAATCTAATCTAAATGATTTATTGGACAAAAATAAACGACAAAGAGATAAAAATTGACTAAACTATACAACTAAAGTGTCCATCACTCTTACATAATTATATTCTGCCAGTTTCAAATTAATATTCGACAAAACATGAAAAAAAATCATATAAATAGATAAATCTGGAATAAAATTAAAAAGCGTCTCTATGATATATGTATACTGAAATTATATTTGAATCAAAACAATATCCTCTTTTATAAATATTAAAATTAATATAAATATAATCAATAATTATTAATTTTATGCACTAATGTAATATAAAGTTTATGTAAATAAATATTTTATGCTAGGATTACTTGCTTAGAGTTACTATTCATATTCCATCAACGAGACGTAAAATTATCACAATCATTTGACTTGTTAATGTTAAGAAACTTTTAAAAGTAAAATGATCCAAAGTACAGCGAGGCACACTCGCAAATGATTATTGTTATAATATATGATACTGAAAATTACATATTTACATCCGCGATATTACTTAACTGTCTACACCTACACATTTTTGCGATGTATCGCTCTATATTGCGGAAATAACTGAAGCATCCAGTAGACGATAAGTGTGACTATTTATCGCAACTGTTTCTGTACATAACGGAATATTTTCCGCCCACGTAAAATGGTTCTTCATTTGAACTATGAATGCAATCGGGGTGCAATAGGCAATTCGTGTGAAAGTATGCACACATATACACAGGTAACAACATCTTCACCAAAGGGATGCAATGTCTGACAAGAAACTACAAGTATGATGACGCGACGTGTTCGAATATACAAGTGCCGAATTGTATTTTATATATAACACGTCCAAAAAAATAATCACGAATAACAAAGCTAAAACACGCTAATATTTAATCGCATCTTCTCCAAAACAAAATTTATTTTAAATTTATTTTCATAAAGAATACGTATGTAACAAAACAATATGTCTTTTCATTTATAATAATTTTTTATTTCAACTTTATAATTTACATAATTAAATACACAATTAAATTTTGTATATATTACTGTAGTTCAATTTCGAAGAAATATAAAGATGCAATAATTTAGGTTGTGGTAGGCTTTTTTTATAGATACGTTATGTATAAACTAATTTATCTTTCATTTTTAAATATTGTTTTTATTATTATTAAGATGCATGCATTTATTTACATTCTCAATATTCATTATTTATCGTAAAAAAAATCATACAATATACAAATAAGTCCAGAATAAAATTAGAAAGTATGTATATATAACATACACTAAAATTATATTCGAATTAAAATAATATTTTTTACAAAAGTAAATGCTTCGAAATTGGATGAAAAGAGGTTTTTGTTTTTCATTTATACATTGCACAATTTAAATAACACAAAGAAACTAAAACAAATTAGATCTTCTAATCTATTTAAATATCTTGATACATCATGAAACGTTTAATTATGAAAATCAATATCTCCAGGTCAAACCATATAAGGTTTCATTGCAATCGATCCATGAATATTCGAACACCAGGTTACGCGAACATATCGATTGCACTAATATTTGCTAATCACATCTAGCTGAGGAAGAGGGGTCAGAAATTCGGGCGTGTGGTAAGATTACAATAGCTTCTAAATATCGAGACTTTCTTTAGATAATATATAATCTGAATATTAATAATTAATTTTACACGAGCTATACGTGCACATTAATACTTGAAGAAAAATATTAATCGTAATTGAATATAATGTTGTTAATATTTTAAATTGTTACTGAAGATGTAATAATTTTTTATGAAATTTTCAAAAAATATTTTATGTATTATTATAAAACTGTATTATTTGCGTTGATCTTTCCTATTCTTAAAAATATGGATGTAATTTTTATTTTGATGAGAATTATATAGGGTAACTGATCCTATTAATGTGCCTTTAGTCAATTTGCTTATTACTGAATTAATTATTAAATATTGTAGCTTTAATTTTTTCTGCTTGCAATCAATATCAGTTCTCCAACTATTTCTTTTCCTTATAATATTTCTTTAATCTAAAAAATGTAAATACTTTATAATGCTTTTGACAAAAATAGAGAATATATTTATTTAGTGAGTCCTCTAAGCGGTAATGACTCTATTAATGTGCCCCCGATTTGTGTACCTATATTCACATTTAACTCAAAGTTAATATATATATAGTTTTATATTTAACATATAGTTACTAAAACAAGTAATAAATTTAAGCTAATTGTTTATGTCAATATTACATAAATCATTATTTCAATTATATTTATTTTACAGTACACTCATAACACAACGTTCTCAGCTCCAATATAGGGCACATTAATAAGAATAAGCTTAAAATCTTGCGCATTACTGGATTTATAAATTCCTCATATCTTTCAAAAAATATTAAAAATATTTTAATTCTTAAAAAATAAAATATTATCTTTGGTATTGTGTGTATATACATTAATAATTTAACTTAACAAAAGAAAAATATTTTTTCTTATTTATTTGTGCTAATTTTCTTTATGAAACTTATCGAAATACAAAAGCACACTAATAGAGACAGGCACAGTAATTAGGACAGTTATCCTAATTCTTACCCAATATGGAAATTACACTCATATTTTTAAGAATGTATTTTTCCTTATGTATCAAAAACTTACAAATACTGTACAATACCATCACTTTTTAACAGAGTATGTATTAAATAATATATATCAATTGTGTGTGAGCGTGTGTGTGGATATTTCACGTATTTAAATATGTAAAAGTCTTGATATTTTAAGCTGAAGCACGTGTAATACACTGAGGGGACACGCGGGTGAAATCACAGGGGCAGTCCACACTGACTGACTGTTACATTTACCTAAACGGAAAACAACCGTCTGATAGCGGGTCGGCGCCCTCGCTTCGTGAAAGAAAGAAGAACATAGTATATTATTTCCAGCCGAGTCTCGGTAACTGCATGATCACAACAACCGCGAGCGAGAGAAAGATAGCAATCGTCGTCGAAGACGAAGAGAGTTATTGACTTCGACTTGGTCGACGTCTGCCGCGGATAATTGGAGGTGAGAGCTAATCACCTGCTTTGTAATTCAATTTCTCGTAAGGATCGGGCCCGGTCGCTTTGATGTCCTGCTCCTGAATGGGCTCTATACTTTCCTGGCTGTCGCGATCAGGACTGATATCATCCTGTTCAATTCGATTCTCCTGTTTCTTACTTGAGACTGATCTGGAGGATGCTATCTCTTCGTAAGTCATCCCAGGTGGATATTTTCTTGTTCTGGAAAGACTGGCGCTACCCTGCCGTTCTAATTTATGTCGCGCTATTGCCTCATAATCCTCGTAGGATAGTCCCGCGCCAAATCTACAAATAAAATATTGCGTGTCGCAGTATAAATATTCATGACTAGCGAATATTATAATATTATTCTTCTCTAACAAATGTAAATCTGTACTATAATGCGTACGACACGTTAATAGCTTACTAAGAGTTGCACATACAATTAAAATTTACATTACAAGAAAATTACATGATTTTATGTATGTATGTCATATATAGACTAGCAAATACCTAATATTAATTCTGCAAATTGTATAGCAAATGAAATTTAAGCTGTATAATAACAAATATGAAGAAAATGTAATAAATTTAAAATGTAATATTTTAAATCTTTTTTATATTTTAGACATAGTTTTTCTAAATATTATTTATAAAAGATATAAAAAATAGATTTATAATAAAATATATTTATAATGGGTTAGAACAGATGCGTATATGTAAAAATTATTTACGCATATTTTAATATAGTATAGAAATTAATTTCAACTCTACAAATGAAGGATTGTTAGTTTAGACAAATGAAAACATTGAACTCATCTTGTTGAATAACACTGTCAAGTTTACAGTTTCAACACTGCTAAGTTTACAGTTTACAGTTTCTACGCGCTCTTAACGTACATGACGTAATTGTTATAAAGCATTTAGGATAACAAACTTACCTCGGAAGCCTGAGTTTCCGCCGTCCTAAATGCTCTTCTGACTTGATAGACTGCAATGCAGGTGCTTGCGGCGATGATGATGGCGTAGAAGGGGTTGTAGTCAATTCGCTTTCTTCTAAGCTACTGCTAAGAGCAGATCCTATTCTGTTCCCTAGGCCCTGAAGATATTCCCCGCTTCCTCCTAGAGCGGTTCGCACAGATCTAAGAGCACCTCTGGTGCGTCCAATTAACGACGCCCTTCCATTGGATGGCAAAGCTGTTGTAACATCTACCATATCCTGGAATAAGTACATACATAAATCGCAATTAACCCTGTATTTTTAAGACACATAATTTAGTAGTGTTGTCGGCATCTCTCGTACCTAAACAATAAATTTTTTGTACAATCATCTCATAATGAATCAATTAACACCTGATAATAATAGTATTTAAAATTTTAAAAGATATAAATGCAAAAAAAAATAAAATTTAAAAATTATAATGTTGCATTTAATATAGATAATTGCAAGCAACAGATGAAGATTGCTATGCTGTGCGTATTTGAAAACACAAATATTTATCATATATTTGCAAATTTAATTAAAGCAACGAGTGTTTAATGCCGCAAATAGAATAAGTCCAAGATAATATTATAGAATTGATTTCTAAATTAATGTATAGCTTTTAAAGATTCATCAATTTTTGCTTTTTTGATAGTTTATGTGCAAAGTATGAATAGCACTCTTGCTGTTATAAAAGTGAAAAATTAAAAAATATAATATGAGAATTAGTTTAATGTATAAAGTTAGATATTGTATTGTTTTACAAATTTTCCTAAATTAAATTTACAAAGTAACTTGTGCATTTTTGAGTCATAAAAAGCAATCAAATTTTTAAATTTTAAAATGCGTAAGATCTTCCGTAAACTGAAAATAAAAATTAATAAAAATAAAATAATAAAAATAAAAGTTATGCTACTGTAGACTTTTTCAAAATATATAAATAATATCCAATATTTTCATTTCTTATTAATAACAATAAATTGCGAGCGTAACGATAACAAAGAGAAATTCTAGTAATTAGGTCTTATCCGACAGACCTTGTGTGAATGCCAATCATGAAAGGGTTTCTAATTCGCTGAGGTAGTTTGCACCGGATTCCTATTACACATTCCAACGTTTCAGCAAAGTAATTTGCGAAACTCGCGATCTATCTCGTCGGTACTTGTAAGCTCAATATAGTCCTTGCGAATAAGGCTGAAAGTAATCTCAGATAAGAAACGTAAGCTTCATTTCCGATGTATATAGGCCACTACCGACCACCTACTCATCTATATACACGTGTACACTATGCGTAAAACGATAACGATGAATCGTAGTAAAAAGGGAATTGAAAAAAGATATGTCGACTGGAAGTGATAAAATTTCGAGGTCACGTAAATTGTTTGAACTCGTGCCATTTTATTCAAAATAAAATAAAATACTCAAGATAAAAATACTCAAAGTACAAAAATAAATTACGTATGCAAAAAGAATAAATAATAATTTGCATTGTGTACAATTTATTATTATAAATAGTTGATTAATGATGTGAAATCTTGTGTACTGTTATATAAAAAAACTTTATGTTATTAATTTTTTTATTTTTATATACTCGTTACTATAAAAAATTAAAATGTTGTTTTAATTATAATTATATATATAATTTGGAAAGTCATAAACTTCAATTAACCCGTAAATTTCCATAGAAAATCGCCTACTAGTGTATGTTATAAATAATAAGTAAATAAGAATATATACCTTGGCGAAAATAAAAATCGTAGCGTAAATCTAACATAAGGAGAGAGTAACAGAAGCGTAAACCAAATTTCTAGGAAGCGAAAATTAAAACGAAACATAAAAGAGGACGAACGAAAAATAACTTTCACGTTTCTTTTATGTTTCGTTGTGTTTCAATTTTCGTTTCCTAAAACCTTCATTTACGCTTCTGTTACTTTTCCCGTACATTTAACTTACGCTCCAATTTTTATTTTTACTAAAGTAAAAGTTTATCAATTAATTTATTAGCAACGTACACACACATACACACACACACAATCATAATAAATCTAAATGTGTTTGCTCATTCATCCAATTACACATTACATTAATTTCATGCGACCTTTTGCATTCATGCTTTACACTTACACTTAAAAAGAAAAACGCGCGACATATCAGACATAGGAAAGGGCATTCCATTTATATCGTGCTCTACTTTTTTGCTGACAAAGAATCTTTAAAACGATTTATTTATTCTGAGAGCTTCCGGAAGACGGTATCGTGAATATATAAATATACATTTTATTTTAAATACAGAATAACTTATATTCTCGATGTTACCATAAAATACGTCTTCCTTTAATGTCGATATATATATATATAAATAAAGAAATGATACTAAACAAGTTGATACTAAACTAATAAAATTAAATCATAAAAATCGGTTACTGGATGATTATCTATTATTTACTGAATATATTAAACTAAACAGACTTATATATAATCTTACGTTGTGGTAACCACAAATGATATCAAATCAACACGGATATCCTTTATGACTATTCTTAACCACTGCATACAAATTTTTGGTAAAATCCAGTTTGTTATATTCTAACTGTTTGCGTTTGTTAAAGAATTTTACCGCTATATACTTACATAATTTCAACATTATACATATAACAATAAATAATAATCATTCAAAGTAACAATGCTCTTCAAAATATACAAGTTTTGCTTAATAAAAATTTAATTTACATCTTAACTACACAACTGATATAGTTAAATAATTTTGACAAACAAAAAAATTTAGTATATAAATAGATATAAAGGTCTTTAATTTACTCATTATTGTTAAAATTTTTTATTACAAAATTTTCCAGTTAACTTTAAAATATTATTAATATTATATTTTATTATTATAACAATTAATAAGAAAATTTATAAAATATAACATTTAATATAGGAATAGTTGTAGTAAAGAATGCGCAATAAATAATCATCGATATTTATCATACAAAACCGCAAATAAAACTCTTTTCATAGTGTCTAAAGATAGATCATTGATTGCGTCCACATGTCTACAGCAAGTTCGACGCCGTGAGAATTTCCGATTAATGTGGGCAATGCGAGGCCAAAACATGTATAATATTTATTAAGAATTCTGTATCAATATATCTCAGTATTCGAAATATAGTTATGTAAACGTCTTAAAAGGAAATCATAAATCGATATTCGAAAAATTTTAATAAAAAAATCATTAACGCAAAGTAAATGTATTTCAAAAAAACTATAACATAAGATATTTCAAAATTTATTTAAAATTTATTGTAAATCAAATATTTTCTTTCTCTTTCTTAGAGCATATTTATTCTTTTTAAGAATAAATATCTCCAGAAATAAAATAATAAAATAAGCAATACTACTTAAAGAACTAGAACTAGAAAATAATTTTATTAGTTTACATCCTTACAGTTTATTAAGACGTACGCACGAAGAATAATATACTGGCAATGATACATCGAATATTCTTGATAATATTAGAATGAGACTAGATGCATATTAATACATACTAAGAGATATAAAATTTTATATCAGTAACATAAAGTTATATGTGTGATAAAATACAATGATCGGCGCATAAACAGCGGCAAACAAATATCAATGAAAAATTATTATAATAAAGCAGATCATGCGGGAGTGAACGATATCGAACGGCATGTGGACGACAATATTTCACAATGGAACACAACTGCAATGCAGCGTTATCTATATTATGCAGTTCTGCGCTATGCGGGACATGCGGACATTCTTAAATATTAAAATCATTAAAAAAAGTTCCTCAACGTATTTGTAAATACAACAAAAATACGGACGATAAACGCAAGTGCAACAAAGTACGATATTTATCACTTGGCAGTATAGCGAAACGAATGTGTCGGGTCAATGTAGCTAAACATAACTGCAAACAGAACGGATGATGATTTCGACGTTGCTCGACGAGCAGTACATTATTAATGCAAAATATGATCCAATATATTCTACATGCAAAAAATTAATATTGCAAAAATATTAAACGAAAAACGCAAATAACGCTTAATATGTTGCGATAGTAAATTTGCGTGTCAAATTAGCTACATGATTATATTCGTCAAAACGCAAGCTAAAATTTGCACATTGGTTTAAAATATTTTAAATTCCATTAATTCGTACACACATTAACTTTCTCGGCTTCTAAAAAATATTTTCTAACATTTTGCATGTTAATTTGTATGCTCTCATTATACTATACAAGTATAAAAATGTGAAATTTGTGTGTTATTGTTACAAAAGAGAATACTTAAACATATATAATCTGTATTTATCCCTTTTCAAAAAATTATATTTACGTTAACACTCAACAAGTTATTACGTTGATAGTAATTAATAACTTGCTAGAAAATTCATATCGGTATCAAATTAGATTTATAAATGCTTAAATATTTATTAATTATTTACTAATTATAATAACAAACAATTTAATCACAATTTCGACTTATCACACCATTTACTGTTATAGTGTTTTAGCTTACAGCAATTAATTGCTTGCTGGAAAAATTAAAAAATTAGGAAACGCAAACTAAAAACAATGTGACAGAAATGTTCTTGTTAAATAGACTTTCATGTGTTGTTTACTTTGATAGTGAAATACAATTTAAAGTATACGCGATTTGCACATTAAATGTATGTATATATATCAAATATATTGTAAAATAAGAATCGTCAATGTTATCGAATTAATTGTTATATCAATTATAAAATTGTTAATAAAATTGTTATTTAATTATTGTAAAGATATTAGTTATTCAATTAAAAATTAGTTAGATGTATATAAAATAATTTACTCATATAAGATAATAAATAACAGTTAGCTTAGCTAAATTTCTATCTAAAATTCGTACTTAAAAAATATTGATATCTTATTATCACGTCAATCATTTCTATACAATAAAATTATACAAAGATCGAAAGCTTGAAATATATTTACTTATTTGAAAAAATGTTACTAAAAGTAAAATCTTAAGTAATCAAATTTGATATTCAGTATAAAGAATTATGATAATTACAGTTCAAAAATTTATAAATATTTTTTAATTAAAAGTAAATAATATATTAAATAATATATAAATAATATATTAAATAATATAGTAAATAATATTAATTAAAAAACCAAAAGTAATAATATATTAAATGAAGAAGACTAAAAATAAATAATTTGCAAATAATACAATGAACACAGCTGTCAAAACAAACGATGCTATCGTTCTATACATTACGTTTTATTGATCAAAGTAAAAAGTATTCCATGGTAGATTCTAAACTCATAGATATCTATTTAAAAAATTATTGTAAGGAACAATATAAATGGATAAAAAATAAAATAAGTCAATATGTATCTTAGAGCTTATTACGAGATAATAATTTGAGTTTTGATATATTCTTCCAATTAAATACCGTGGAGGAAAGAAGTTCGGGATCACAGACAATCACTGTCACCTTCGTCGAATGTTTGTACAAACACGTGCAACACTGCTCTTGACATACTACTATGGACTTGCACTATCGCGAGCTTTGCAGCTACCTCGGGGCCCATTGGCACGTAACGTTGCATTACCCCTCCAGACGTACGATCGAATTAATAAAGGCGCATGCGTTTATCGCGATCAATACAACATCTCGATTTACCGGCACATTCATTAATTTTAGTCGTGAAGAAATCCGCCACCGTACACCTACTGGCAGTCGATACAATGCCAGTTAACAATAAATTATTCAATACAAATATTTCAACATATTATATATTTAGTTCGATATAAAAATATAAAAAATAAATTAATAAGATATCTACACTTTAATCAAAGATTTTTATTGTGAATAAAATAATAAATAAATTTTTTCTTATTTAACTATAAAAATTGTAACGCCGAATATGCAAAATAATTAAGCAATACGAATTTGATTAAAACGATTTTTGAGTTATGATACATTCAATTATGCTAATTATAAATGATAACCTGAAAATAACCAATATGCAATGATTCAGTAAATACTAATAAAAGTGTTTCTCGTCAAAATCCACATTATAAATAAATTCTTAACGTTATGAAATCATGAACGCTATTCGATTTAACGCTATTTAGTAGATACAAATCTACTGAATCATACACACCTTTGATCACTTACAATTAGTGGCACAATTGAGTCTCTTTTGTATCATGACTCATATGCTAAAATCAAGATTTTTTATTTATGCTTACATAATTTGAAATAATAAATCAATGAAACAGAATAGTCATGCGAACAGAGTTTCAAATTAGACAAAAATTCCAATTATACACAAATATGACAAAAGTGTACAATTAATTCTTTTTACAAGAATTGCTGTGTTCAAATTATATCTTTTTATTGCAAGAAAACAATTAACAAGTGCAGTTAATAATTTTTTTAGAATATTTAGTAGACAAATGTAGTTAGAAAGTTATGTATTCATATGGACGTGTATATTACAGTATCTTGAGCAGGTAAAGACATCTTGTTTACATCAACCAATTTCCTACAAACAAAAAAACAGAAATGAATTATTACTAATTAATTTATATAGAACATATTTTTTTTCAACATTATAACATAATATATTTTTAAAAATAATTTCTTTAAAAAATCTATAAACAATTTGTTGCTAAAATATTATTTGAAAAAATATATTTGTTATAACAATAGTAATTGTATCTGAACAGTTTCTATACAAACAACTAATTAAAAAACAAAAATTATTTATTTTTGCCATTAATTAACTATTTATATTTCATAAAATGTGTAAACTGTACCCATGTATCACTTTGGAACCCATACTGGAGACTTTGACCTTCAATTTCGAAGGAAGTTCTTCTTGTGACAAATCGACAACTTGTTGTTCTTCATTACTAAAGTTAATCAGAAGCAACACGACGCGGCTACCTTTGTTTCGAATTATACCTAGAACAGTGCCATTGTTTGTTGTAATTGATTTATAACTTCCTTCAGTAAGGGCCGGTTCTGTTCGGTGCATGTGAGCTAAGGTCTTATAAATCTTGTAGTGCGATTTATCGGCTGCCATTTGGTTCGCCAGGTTCAATTCCTTATAGTTCTGATGTACCGGAAGCCACGTCGAATTTGCTGTACTAAAACCTGTAAATAATTAAATAGTCGGATTTTGGAAAAATATGTTATTCATTTTACTAAATACATTATGATAGACACAAATTATCCTTTACCTGCATTTTTTGTCGCGTCCCATTGGAATGGCGTGCGTTCAGGATCACGGGACGTACTCTTAAATTTCTCTTTACCCGCAATACACCCCTGAGGGTCCTGTGTATCTTCCCAAGATATATCTCTCTTGTCCACCATGCCAATTTCTTCACCGTTATATGTCACTGTCAAGCCTGGCAAGACCATAGACAACATAGTCATTTGATCCGATCTGTTAGGATAACGAGAGGCAACTCGAGGATTATCGTGATTTCCCATCTGAAAAAAAATTTATATCAAAAATTGCCTATAGAAAAAAATAAGGGAATTCTTATTTTTATGGAATGCAATTAAGATAAATCTGTTGTAATAGATTCTTCAATAATTTTAAGATCTTTTAGAATTTCTTATATTATATAGATCCTTTTATAAGGAATAAAATAAATAAAATAACAAGGCAATTAATTCAAGACTACTGAGAATCAAAAGCAGAAGAAAACGGAGTCACAAAACTGTAGTGGCTTCTCAACAAACTTCAATCTTATCATAAAACTTTGGAATTTCTTAACTATAATACTATATTCAATAGAATTGTTAATGTGCCATTTTATACAGATATGATGTTTCTCCGACTAAACCGTCTCAAATATCGAATGTCTAATGAGCAATTTCAAATTAACGGGCAATTTGAACTTATCTTCGGCAGACTGCTTAAGCAATATGATTTAGGATATTTATTAATGCTGAAGAGGACTTCAAAGTGAGTTGAAATGTTCAAGAACTTTAAATAAAGACTTCAGAACATCTATGGAGTAATTTTTTCATATTTCTTACAACAGTTGCGCTGACTTCTAGTAACCTTGAAATAGTTGCTTTGTTATTTTAAAGAGAGAGAATCCAAGCTTAATATATTTATTTAAAATAAATAAATATTTGCAATTTCAGGTTTTAAATTGATAAAATTGATCAACTATATACATTTAGATAAAAATTTCTCATAACATTTACAACAACTTAATCATCTTGTTGGGTTTTATAACAAAATAATAAAAATATTAAATACATATATGTAATATTAAATTAATTTATGACGTCTTCATTAAGATGATAATTTTATTCATATAACTACGTACCGCCCAATTAGCGATTTTACCTCTTGGCATCGAATTCATCCACAGATCTATTTGTTGTTTAAATTTTTGCGCAGACGATGTTGCGTTCACATTTGTAATAAAGTTGAAATTAAACGGAACTAAATCATAATAGTAATATTGCATAGTATACTTAGAATCAGAGTACGCCTCCATCAACATCAACTAAATCAGAAAGAAAACATTTTACAACATAGACAAAAAATAAAACACGACAAATAATTTTAATAAAAATAAGAAACAGACTATCGTATATATCATTCACCTTCCGATCCTGATTACGTTTTGAAGCATATAAGTCCAAGAATTTTCGCCACTTTCCAAACAATTTATAAGTATCGATTAAATCCATGGTGTAAATATGCTTCAAATACTTATGCTCTCGCGACGTGGCACCGTCTATGTTACTTTTAGGTTCGTCTAGCAATTCTGGGTTTTCATAAATAAATGGGGCCGAATCAACGCGGAATCCGTCTACACCTAAATCCAACCAAAATTTCAACACGTTCTGTAATTAATCAAAAAATTTTCAAAAATTATGATAATTAATAATTCTAAAATAACATTATTTTATTAATTCTTTTAAACATATTTTTTGAATTATAAAACGCACGAATTTACATTTCAATTTTATTTTAAAGATACAAACTTATTTTTATATTTTTACATTTTTTTGTATAATATATGTCTTAAATGTTAAATAAAATAATTTAAATATAATAAATTTAAAAATTAAAAAATACACTATATAATAAAAAATTAAGCAATAAATTCTTATAATGAATTATATAACTTATAGAACTAACTTACTTCATTGTACTTCCATATCATACAATCGAAAGAAAACAGTGATCACAAACAAAAGTTCAAAAATTTATATTAAGCTTATATATCAAGTAAATAATTTTAATAAAAAATGTTTTTACTCAAATTAATTAGCATTCTAATTATTGTGCTTTAATTCTCATTATCCCTCGTTTTTCCGCTTTAATTTTTGATAACATCGAAAATCATAAAATTCTTTTATTAATCTTTTATATTAATAAAGTATTAATATATTTATTTAATTATTTTAATAATATATGTAGTATGATTTATTACCACAGTTTATTAAAATTGTAAATCCTAATTTATCACTTTTATCAATAAAAAGAATAGAATTAAAAGTGTTTTGAGTTATAGGAGTATCTCTTTCCAAAAAGAGTATAATATATATATAAAACATTTTTAAAAAATTTAATTTATTGATACTTACCAACATCTCCTTTCTTACTGCAGGATTACGAAAATTTAAGTCAGGTTGTCTATACTCAAATTGATGGAAATACCACTGATTTAGTGATTTTACATAAGTCCACGCGGATCCACCAAATACACTAATCCAATTGTTAGGCGGTGTTTTGTCGTCATTATTTCTGCCATCTGCCCAAATATAATAATTCTTATACTTTTTATGACCTCGAAGAGCCTTTTGAAACCATATATGCTTATCAGATGTATGATTCGGCACAAGATCGAGAATTACCTGTAAAAATATTATAAAATGACTCCAAAATAACAATAAAAAGTAAAACATAATAAAAATGTTTTTTTAGAAGGTACAGAGATAAAAAGTCTTATTTAATATTTTTTATCTAAATGTAATTATAATACTAGAAATTTAAAATTTCTTTGGGCCGATTTGTAGGACGGCCCACACTTGAGCTGCAGCGGCGGCGGTGCGCAGGGAGGGGAAAGAAACGCTCATTGCTTGGCACAGCCTGGCATGGTGGTCCTATGTGTTTCGCTTCTTTCCCCTCCTTGCGCACCGCCGGCGCTGCCGCTCGAGTGGGCCGTCCTACGAATTGGCGCGGCGCGGCTTAACCGTATATTGGCTTAGATGTTTCCTTTTCTAATTCGAAAACTATAGCAAGTATCTCAAAATGGTATAAGAATTTTTTGTTCCTTTTGATCCATTCTCACCCCCCAATGTGGCCCCGACCCATCTTACTAGACACCCTGTATAGTGTATATTAGTAATTCAAGATTAAATTATTTTAAGGCAATGAAGATCTAGCTTCGACCGTAATAAGCATTTTAAATTTCTACTTATTGTGTTTCTCACATATGCAATTTAAACAACGATTCTTAATATTGTAATTATAATACAAAAAAATTATATTTATAAATATTAGGCAAGATATTAGTCATCGCACTTTTAGACCGAGCTTTTTAGCGCGTGCCAGAAGAATTTTAAAGTCTTTCAATGAACCAAAAATTGGATCGATGTTAACAAAATCGGATATATCATATCCAAAATCAACCATAGGACTTGTATATATGGGCGACAGCCAAATCGCATTGATGCCAGTTTCCGCAATATAATCCAACTTCGAAGTTATCCCTGACATGCAAAAAATACAGATTTAATTATCGTCGTTGTTATTATGCTCGAATACTTTCAATTTTCAGATAAACATTTTCAGATTAGGTATATAAAATTGTACAATAATTAATTCAATAGAATTTGTAATTGTTATATATTAATTTAATAATTCGTTATTCTTCATTAAACGATACATAACAGCTAGTGACACAATTAGCATATGCTTACCCTTTAAATCGCCTATTCCATCGGCATCTGAGTCACAGAAACTTCTCGGATAAATCTGATAAAAAACGGTGTTATTCCACCATGATTTATTTTGAATCTTGTAAGCAAAACAATTGCTTCCACAGAGCAAAAGAGCACACAAAAAAATCGCCCACGACATTATGCCGTTTGTGCTTGTCGAATCTCAAAATTGTTTTATATAACAATGGCAAAGGGAATCGATATCATTTCCTTATCGATTGTGCTTGACAAAATTACGCTGTTTCAACGTTGAAAAGAAATAAATAAAAAATATTAATACATCAAATATGACAGAGAACATCATTATTTTGATCAAAATTAGATTCTAATATTTAAAATTCAAAATTAGATGTTTTGAATACGATATGTATAGTTTATTAAATAAATTTATTTCAGATATGATTGGGCATCGATAACTTTTGGACTTTCAACACAAGTCTGAAACACTACTCCGCCCTAAATTCCCCCTAAATTAAATCAGAAAAACTGTAAAGAACTTATTGCGAAAAATATTACCTCAGCTATGGTTCAAACTTCTTGATTTATCGAGGCGAGTGTCTTAGCCAATTCGGCCACTGAGGCTTCGAAAATATTCCTCGCAATAATTGATATATATAAAGAGAATGCGTTATATGGTCGCATGTGTGTAAATATATATTCTTTAGAACAACCGTACATATAAATACATCAAATATGACATAAAACGAATTATTTCGGGCAAAGTTAAATGTTTCAATTAATACGATATGTATACTTTAAATAAATTTATTTCAAGTATGATTGCGCGCCGATAACTTTCGGACTTTCGACACAATCAGTCTGAAACGCTACTACTCCCCCCTAAATTCTCTAAATTAAATTAGAAAAATTATAAAGAACTTATTGCGAAAAATATTACCTTAGCTAGGGTTTGAATCTATTATAGAACCTCTCAATTTTCCGGGGCGAGTATCTTAGTCAATTCGATCAAAAAAATATTAAGTCTGTTATCACTGTAATTGTCTAACTGGAATTTTCCCATCATAATAATTTCCACGACATATAGTATTTCTTTAAAAAATTAAAAAATTAATAATGTTTGTCAGACATATGACATAAGACGTTGTATGTTCTCACTTTGAATATGCGTGCTGCTTGGGTGGTTCTCGGTTAACGAACCGTGTCTGACAAACATCGTAAATTTTTCAATTTTTCAGAATAAAAAATCGAATAAAAAATGATAAACACTTCTTCTTCTTCTTCTTATATTAGAACAAGGTGTTTTTTCTGCCTTTATCACTCTTCTTGTCGGTTATGTAACGAACCATGTCTGACAAACATCGTTAATTTTTTAATTTTTCAGAATAAAAAATCGAATAAAAAATAATAAACCTTCTTCTTCTTCTTCTTCTTCTTCTTCTTATATTAGAATAAGGTGTCTTTTCTGCCTCTCTCTCCTTGTCCCCATCACTCTTCTTGTGAACCTGACATCCAAATCTCTCGTGCCAGCGCTTAGGTGGTCTGCCTAGTAACAGAGTTGTGCTGGATCTATTTGTTTTCGCCCATTTTGATATTTTTTTTTAGGCTCATTCTATCGATGTGGTCTCTCTATTGGCGTCGCCGCGCTCTCATCCATCTCATTGTGTCTTGGATCTTAAGTTCCCTTTTTATTTACCCTACCTCACTTCTTATCTGATCTCTAAGGGTTACGTCGATTCGACATCGATTTCATTGTCATTTCTCATTAAGTCTTATCAAGAAAAATTAAACGATAAGTAATGTTCCCTTTCATAAATATAATATATAGATTTTCAAATATAAAATTTAAGATATTTTCAAATATAAAAAATTAAACTCACAATGTATTAAATCAAACATATAAAATATACATCATTGGTGTACGTATTAACGGTAATAGATGCACAAACTTCTAATTAGACTGCTGACTCGATATGATAAAAAAAGATGAATCTGATTCCGAACTGTTCTTGTTTCAATTCACACATGTACATGATAAAACATGGATAGAACAGTGAAATCATTTGATGATTTGATATCATATAATGATTAATATATCTGACATGTACTCTTTTTGCTACTTTTCCAATTTTATTAAAATGGAATACATGTTGATAAAAGCAAAGATTTAAAAGGAGACTTAAAACTTTTTGGGTGACAAAATAGAACAAAATTCTTTTCCTAATATAAATCTAGATAGCAGAGAGTTCAAAAAAGATCAAAAAGAATTCAGTGATAGATCATCGATTCTAAGCTCATTTTCAAGTGCAACAAGAATTCCTTTTTTGAAAAAAGTGTAACGTGGTTTTATTAACAATGTGTTGGAGCTGAAGGAAGGAAACAGTTTATTTGCGGTTTTTATCGCTGTTTTTAAAATATCGTCTTAATTTTGTGTTTTTCCAGATAATACAGAGTTTAAAAAGAATTCAGTGATATATCATCGATTATAAATTCATTAACAGATACTACAAGAATTCTTTTTTTGAAAAACCACGTTACATTTTTGGCAGTACCAAAAGAATAAATTCAAGAGAGCAATATTAGGGAAATGAGGGAACCCCTTAACCTTTTTAATGATCTGAAAAAGTTACATCTAATATTTAATGTTCTTTTGTAAGCTCCAGTATAAGAAGAGGCTCCGTTTTGTTGAAACATTGGAATGCAAAATATAATTTGCAAATAGTTTTAGCATGTGTAGATGATTGTCAAAGAACATTGGTTTTACTAAAAGAAAATGGTTGAATAATCTTATTATTATGCACGAATCTGTATCAAACGTAGCCATGCCTTTTTCTGAAAGATGTCAGAGACATAGTTTACTCTATTAAGGTACTAAACATAATTTTGTTTTGCGTAACCGAATTGTAACCGCTATTGACATCATAATTAAAGACATGCTACAGCGTACTTGGCATGAAATAGAAAATCTCGATATTCATCATGTTACTAAAGATGTTCATGTATAAGTTAATTAATTTTTTATAAAAAATGTTATAGTTGTCATTTACAATAAAAGTACTCAGGAATATATACATGCATTTACAAAGTTGGCAACATTATATGCATATTTTTTTAAAATAACACGTTACCGTTATCACTACTTATTCCTTTCTCAATTATTATCATTATTGTTACTAATTTTTAAAAATAATACGTTAACGTTATTTAATAACGAATGTTTCTATTATCTTTTTTAATTGTTATGTTTTTGCAATGCAAAAGAAACGTTAGATTTTAAAATTACATTATTTGATAATCAATATTAAATATTAAAA